CCGACGTCGTCCAGAGATCTCTCTCCGCACGGAGGCCCCGAGAGGCCTCGAAAGAGGTCCCCGGCGGGGTCCTCGGGAGGCCTCCGCGGGGCACGTCGGAGGCGCTCCAGCCCTGGAAGCAGCGTCGATCGAGCCATCGAGCGAGGAACGTCGACGACCACCGACGCAGATGGACGACGGGGACGGACGACGCTGGGCGAGGCCCACGCCGACGACGACGCTGCCGACGACGACGACGACGTTGACATCCTTCTAACGCCTCGGCGACGGCGACGGCGGCGACAGCAGCGACCGCGACGACGGCCGACGTCGTCCAAATGTCTCCGGCGGGGTCTGGAGGTCGGCGTCGTCGACGGACGACGACGCCGACGACGATGGCACGGCGATGTCGACGACGACGACCACGATCGACGACGACCACGATCACCACGGCGACGACGTCGTCGACGACGACGACGACCATGGCACGGCGATGTCGGCGACGACGATCACGACAACGACGGACGACAACGGATGACGATGGACGACGACGACGACGATGACGACGACGGCGACGACGACGACGACGACGACGGCACGGCGGCGGTGGCGGCGACGACGACGACATCGACGACGACGACGGTGGCGGCGGCGGCGGTGATGGTGACGACGGCGACGACAAACGACGAACGACGGACGTTGACGACGACGACGACGACGAGAAGGAGCACGACGACGACGACGACGACGATGACGACGACGGACGACGACGGACGTCGTCCAGAGGTCGCTAGAGGTCGCCCGGGGTCTCCAGAAGTCCCCAGGCGGCCTTCGAAGGGCCTTCAAAGGCTTCGAACGGGTCAAGCTCAGAACATGTGGCTCTCGAACCTTGAGTCTGGACGATGGCCGGCGGCGCCGGCGGCGGCGGCGGCGGGCGGCGCCGACGACAGCCGTCGAACGCTTCCGAGCGCCTCGGCGGCGGCGGCGGCGCCGACAACGGCGGGTGGCGGCGGCGGCGGCGGGCGACGTCCACGACGGCCTCCGAAGGCTTCCGGGAGCCGCGGCGGCGGCGACGGCGACGGCGGCGGCGGCGACGCCCCCCTGCCCCAGGCAGGGGCGAGCCCGCCGCCGTGCGACTCGAGGTCTCCGCCGGTGCCGCGGACCTGTGCCTGCTCGGCGACGCATCCGCCGCGGCTGCCGCCCTGGAGGAGCCCCACGCCGCCGCCGCCGTCACCAGGATCGAGGGTCGACGATCCGAGGATCGAGGGTCCTCCTCCACGCCCTCCTCGGCGTCGCTTGTCGGGGGCGGGGGGCTCGAGGATCTCGGATCGAAGGCTCGAGGCTCGATGATCGAGGCTGAGGATCGGGGTTCGAGATTCTGTTTTGATGATCTCGGATCAAAGGCTCGAGGCTCGATGATCGAGGCTGAGGATCGAGGTTCGAGATTCTGTTTGGCTTCTTCTGTTCCCCCCCCCCCCTTACCCTCTGGGGGTTTCCCGTCGCCCCTGCCGGGTTCCCCTCGGCACGGGGGCCAGAGCGCTCCCCAGGGGAGGTCTGTGGGGTCGACGTGGAGGCCCGAAGCCCGGACCTCTGGCGAGGAGGTCCGGCGATCGGGGATCGAACCGCACACGGCCAATTCGCTAATCGACGTGTCAGGGTAGGAGTAGGAGGAGGAAGGAGGAGGAGGAGGAGGAGGAGGAGGAGGAGGAGGAGGAGGAGGAGGAGGAGGAGGAGGAGGAGGAGAGAGGAGGAGGAGGGAGGAGGAGGAGAGGAGAGAGGAGGAGGCTCGAAGCTCCTGGGACCTCCTGGGCGTCCCTCCTGGCCACGGCCGGGCGCAGCTGGGAAGACTGGCCAGGCGGCACACCGGGGAGGGGTCCGGGGACTGAGCTCGAGCGGAGCTTGGAGGAGGACGGGTCGATCGAGGATCAAGGCTCGAGAGTCGAGGCCTCTGTGCCTCGGCGGGCCCCAGACCTCTGGAGGACGTCGCCGCCACCGTCAGCGTCGTCGGCGTCGTCGATGTCGTCGTCGTCGTCGCAGCCACTGCCGCCGCCGCCGCCGCCGTCGCCCGCGCCGCCGCCGCCGCCGCAGTGGAGGGTTCGAGGTCCGAGGACCGATGCTCGAGGGTCGGACGCTCTTGGCCTTCTCGGGGTCTCTGCATGCCGCCGGAGGCCTCCAGAGGACCTCCAACACGTCTGGAGACCTCTGGGCGACGCGGGTCGCCGTCGTCGTCGCTGCCGTCGCTTTCGCCGTCGCCATTGCCGCCGCCACGGCTACCGCCGCCGCTTTCGGGAGCCTCTAGGATGCCCTTCGGATGCCGTTCCGGGCGCTACAGGAGGCCTCGGCGAGCCTCTTTGGGAGCCGCTCGGGAGCGTCTCGGATGCTTTGACAAGGAACCGCCCTCCATCCCCTCTGCAACCCTTTGAGACGAGTGTGCGAGAATCCAAGGCGAGAGCCATATTTTGAATAAGACCTGTGCTGTATCTTTAGGACTGATGCGAACTTTTTAGCGAATATGGCCGGCGCTACGGCGAGAGCCACAGTGAAATGGGACCAGACCGCTCTCCATCTTTGGAGCTATTGCGAACTTTTGAAGCGGATGTGCGTGGCGCTGAGGCGAGCGGTTGCAAACTTCAAGCTTCAGGATCATGACTGGTGAGGGCGTCTCCGGCGAACCGCCCGGCCCTCCCTGCCGACGCGCCTGTGGGTACGACAGGGACGAGTTCTTCAGAAGTGAAGCGCACGGAGGGTGAGGAGGAAGGATGTGCGAGGAGCGAGCGGTGAGCGGCGAGGATCGAGGAGGAGGAGGAGGAGGAGGAGGAGGAGGAGGAGGAGGAGGAGGACTGCCATGGCCGCGCCGCGGAGAGGATGCCGCCCAAGGCGCCTGGGAGAGGACGACGCAGAGGTGCCAGCGGTGCGCTCAGGCGAGCAGGAAGGATGACGGAGGGGGCAGGAAAAGGAGGAGGGAACATATCGGGTATGGCCAGGACCCCAGGTAAGGGGACCTGGTTAGTGGTAGGGCCCCGGAGCCTGTGAATTGGCCAGAATCACTAAACCAGGTTTGCCATAGCATGTGTTGTTTCGGGTGACGCCAGTTCCGGTTAGTGGAAATGGGACGGGGGGGGCGCCCCCGGTTCAGAAGATCACTAAACCAGGTTCCACTAAACCCAGTTTTGCCAACGCCCGAACATAATGAGGATGCTGCCGACGGTGGTCGTTTTCTGATTCGCTGTTTTGCCGATCGGTGCCGGCCCTCGCGCCCCCTCCCCCCCAGGGAGTAGATCTTGGCTGTTTTTGGCGCCTGCTTCAAGCAGGTGGGGCCTCCCCCACAGGACGCACTGTTGCAAGCAGACGCGCTAAGCAGAGGTCCAGAGCCAGACACCCACTCCCCCGCCTTCCGCCCAATGTCGAAGCGTCGAGTAAGAAAACGCTCACATGACGATCGGGGAGACTGCTTGCCAGGGCTACGGGCAGGTGGGGCTAGGCACCACGGTCTCCCTCACACGTCCCGGGGGGTGGGCGGGGGGGGGGGCGGCCGGCTGCCCCGGTCCGCACGCCCGCGCGCAGCCACCGCAGTCCCTCAGCCTTCCGTGCCCCTCGCCACCTTCGCGGCCTCGCCCCAGCGGTGGCCCTCGCGGAAAAGCTGCTTGGCGGCCGCCCTCGTGGCGAGGTCGTTGCCCACCAGCGGCCATGTGTTGAGGCTCCCAGGCGCCGCGATGCCGCGTTTGCGCGCTCTGCCTTGCACGAGCCAGGCGTAAGCCAGGGACTCGTTCAGGTGGCACTGGCCCGCCTTTCTCCAGCCGTTCGTGGACTTGTCCCACTGCAAGCAGCTCTCCACCCTGAAAGCATCCCGAGGCCGCAGGCGACGCTCCAGGCGCTGGCGCCGCGCGCTGCTCGGAGCCACGGGCTGCGCTGCCACCAGCCGCTGCTGCGCTGGGCCGAGGCGGCCATCGGTGTCGCAGTCTGGCGCTGGGCCGCGGTCATGGTGCACGCCTGCCTGCCAGCGCGGATTCCCGAGGAGGAACGCTTGCTTTGGGCGGAGGCATCGCCCACGCGGGAGGCGTGAGCTCAAGGCTGGGCGGTGGCGCTCCTGGAAGAAAACACGGCCCCAAACACACGTCTATCAATGTGTGTACATCCAGGAAGCAGGCGGGATCCTCGTGGGCACGCACCTGCGGCCGCCCCGAGTTACCGGGGCCGTGTGCGGCCCCAACGCCGTGGTCGTGGCAGGGGAACCGGATTTCGGCTGTGCTTCGGACCGGATGCACTTCGTCTCCGTCGACGACAGATGCTTGTCTGAAAATTCCAACTTCCGCGTTGCCCTGCAGACCAGGGTGCGCATCGGTATGTGGTCGCGATTGGTCTTGCGGTTCCGCCCTCCCTGGTGGGTGTGAGGATGGAGGAGGATGGTGATGATGATGATGATGAGGAGGAGGAGGAGCAGGCCTGGCCGGTGGCAACACTTGCATAGCGCTACCTCTCACCTCCCCGAGCGCTGCCCTTACAGCGCACGCGTCTCTGGGGGTCATCCCGGCTCATAGTGCGGGCGCTGTCCCCCGGGGGGGGGGCATATGCGAATAGGTTCTCTGGTGCGATCATCTCTCTCTCTCTCTCCCTCTCAGGTTATCAGCCGCTTTTGCTCGGCCCGTTGGACCATGTGACCATCATCGACAGTCTCGGTAGGAAGCTAAATTGGCGACGTTGCGTTCGTGGGCAGCTCGCCGATTTGCGTCGGTGGCAACGCCCATATAGGTGGTCAACACGCCGATGTTCAACGTTTCCTGCGCGGGAGAGATTTTTCGATTGTCCCCCCCATTGTCAAGGTTCTTTTACTTGTTCTCTACTCATCCATCGTCCTCTTGCTTCCGTTAACCATCCATCTATTGCTTCCCTCTCCCCCAATCATGTGTCCATCCCTCGTTTGTCTTCTCTCTTTTTTGCTGCTGTCTATGCGCGTTGCCACCGTGCCCACATTCATTATGGAGCGTGTTGTGCGAAATGCTGTGCGTTGCCGAACAGGCCGTCGCTCGACGTTGTGATGCATCAGATGCGTGTGGGTATTGCTTGCGTAAAAGAATTTCTGTGATCTCTTTTGCGGAATGGCAGCGCTCTGGCAGAGTCGTGTGGTGTGCGGGCCCAGATTTGGCCAGCTGGCTGCCCGACTTCGGTTTGCGTTTTCGCCCCCGCGGGCGGCGGACCTCGCGCAGGACGCACGTGTCGCTTTTCCCAGGCTCGAACAGAGACTCGATGATCAGGGATGCTGACAAGGCACGAGTTGGGGACTTTCTTGCCCGCTTGGGCCGCGCGCAAGTCGCCCGGCGCAAGTCGCCCGGCGAGCAGGGGCCAACTTCTGTGCGCGCAGACGATTCCGCGACTTAGGGCAATAACCTTAATGGGTGCTCGCTGCGGGCCCGTGGCCTCTTGATTTGTTTTGTGGGCGAAGGTTGTCGTTATCTGTAAGTCACATGTATAAGTGAATTTCCCCTTCTCATTCCTCTTTTCACTGCGTGTGCGTGGGTGCGGATGTCTCCCATCGGGAAGGTTTCTTCCTCTTTCCTCCTCTTTCTTCCTCCCTCGTCTGGCCCCGCAGCCTCCGGGGGTCGCGGGGGCCTCTTCCCCGAGTGTCCGTGCAGTCGGGTCTAGCCCCTCCTTCCTTTCTCCTCTTCCCCTGTCAGGTATGAAATGTCAAGCAGGGAGGTCGCAGCCCTGCAGAAACCTTTTTAGCAGGGGGGTCGCAGCCCTGCAAACTGGAACTTCTTGACAAGAACATGTGCGATGTGCGCTCGAGGTGGCCAGTGTTCGACCCGTGTGAAGGCTCGCGTCCTTCGGGGCGTATGCCTGTTGATCGCGAGGTCTACTCCTCCTTCCTCTCTCTCCCTTCTCCTTTCTCCTTCCTTTCCGTGTCGTCTCGCGTCGGGGGGGGCGGGGCGGCGGTGCTTTCGGTGCCTCCGCTCCCGCTCAGGGCAGCTGAGCCCTGGAGGCCCCAGTTGCCGAGCTCGCTGCGTGTGCGTTGCTCCCGTTAATCGGCCCGCGCTTGTGGCGCGCGTCAGTTTTCGATTGGAATGCGCCCCTCGCGTATACTGGGAAGAGTTCCGCCTCCCCACGGGTGCGGGTCGACATGTGCTTTCCCAACCATCCTGTGGTGTTGGGTCCTCGTTTTGAAGAAACGGTCCCCGCGTTCTCCTCTCCTCTCCTCTCCTCTCCTCCCTCCTCCCTCTCCGCGTCAGCCACGCCCACTTCGGCACACCCCTCACACGTTTCGTGGCCCCATAAGGAGCTCCACCGGGGGCTCCAGTGGCTGCGTTTGCATGGCGGCACCGCGCCCATTTCGGGACATCCCTCACACGTTTCGTGGCCCCATAGGGAGCTCCACCGAGGGCCCCAGTGGCTGCGTCCGCATGGCGGCACCGCACCGAGGTCGGCACCCCCCTCACACGCTTCGTGGCCCATAGGGAGCTCCACCGAGGGCCCCAGTGGCTGCGTTCGCATGGCGGCACCGCGCCAATTTCGGCACACCCCTCACACGTTTCGTGGCCCCATAGGGAGCTCCATCGAAGGCCCCAATGGCTGCGTTCGCATGGCGGCACCGCACCCATTTCGGCACACCCCTCACACGTTTCGTGGCCCCAGGGGGAGCTCCACCGAATGCTCCAGTGGCTGCGTTCGCATGGCGGCACCGCGCCCATTTCGGCACACCCCTCACACGTTTTGTGGCCCCATAGGGAGCTCCACTGAGGGCCCCAGTGGCTGCGTTCGCATGGCGGCACCGCACCGAGGTCGGCACACCCCTCACACGTTTCGTGGCCCCATAGGTAGCTCCACCGAGGGCCCCAGTGGCTGCGTTCGCATGGCGGCACCGCGCCCATGTCGGCACACCCCTCACACGCGTCGTGGCCCCGCAGGGAGACTCCACGAGGGCCCCTGGCTGCGTTCGCATGGCGGACCGCACCCTTTCGGCACACCCGTCACACGTTTCGGGGCCCCCATAGGAGGCTCCACCGAGGGCTACAGTGGTGCGTTCGCATGGCGGCACCGCGCCCATTTTCGGCAACACCCTTCACACGTTATCGTGGCCTTCCATAGGGAGCTCCAACGAGGCCCCAGTGGCTGCGTTCGCACGGTCGTGGCCCCATAGGGGCTCCTACCGAATGCCTCCAGTGGCTGCGTTCGCATGGCGGCACCGCACCCATTTCGGCACACCCCTCACACGTTGTGGCCCATAGGGAGCTCCCCGAACCGAAGGCCCCAATGGCTGCGTTCGCATTTCGGCACGCACCCATGCCGGCACACCAATCACACGTTTCGTGGCCCTAGGGAGCTCCACCGCGGGCCCCAGTGGCTGCTTCGCATGGCGGCACCGGCGCCCATTCGGGCACAACCCCTCACACGTTTCGTGCCCCATAGGGAGCTCTTTCTTTCTTTTTTTTCGCAGTTCTATTTTTCTTTTTTTTCTTCTTTTCTTTCTTGCTTATTTTTTTTTTTTTTCTTTTTTTTCCTTTTCTTGTTTATCTTTTTTTATTTCTTTCTTTCTTCTTTTTTTTTTCTTTTACGTATTTTTTGTGTATTTCTTTTCCGTTTTTTCCTTTCTTCTTGTTTTTTTCGCTTTTTTTGTTTTCTTCTTTCTATCGTCTTCTTTTTTTTTTTTTTTTTTAGTAAAGGAAATGTTATCTTTCTATTTTGTTTTTTTTCATTTTTTTTTCCACCGAGGGCCCCCGTGGCTGCGTTCGCATGGCGGCACCGCACCCATTTCGGCACACCCCTCACACGTTTCGTGGCCCCATAGGGAGCTCCGCCGAGGGCTCCAGTGGCTGCGTTCGCATGGCGGCACCGCACACATTTCGGCACCGAGGGCCCCAGTGGCTGCGTTCGCATGGCGGCACCTCGCCCATTTCGGCACACCCCTCACACGTTTCGTGGTCCAATA